AAGCGCATGCACCCTATAGCAAAAATCTCTCTGAAAAAAAAGAAAGAAAGCTTTCGGAGAAATTAAATGGAATATAAGAGGATGAGTAGAAATCAGCCAGGCATTTCCAACTGAGGAGATAGCATGAGAAAAGGCATAGTGGTGTGAATGATGGCCCACTCCCATGAAGCTCTTTGAACTAGGGAATCCCTCAGGAATAAAGAGACATCCTCACCCACCTCCCAAATTCCAGTTGTCTCTTACCACATTCCATACTGGCGAGCAGTTCAGAATGCTCAAGAGCACCCAGCCACTGTTCTGTTTCCTGGGTAGACTTGGGCCCATCAGGGAGCTCTCCAGGGTACTGATTGGTATCCCTATGGATCCTCTTCAGTCAGCAGCTCTCTGCTTGAGCACCTGCCTAAGACTCTGCCTCTTCCTGCCCATGTCCGATGCCCTCGTTGACGCCATGTGGTGGAAAGAGCATAGACTTACAAACCCAAATGACCCAAACTAAAGGAACGACAAGTAAAAGATAAATTATTACTGTGAGTTATGGTGCAAAATATGTGTTTTGTTTTGTTTTGTTTTCACTGAGACACAGTATTTCAGTAACCTTATAGTTTTCTAAAAAATTATTTTGGAAACTTACATATTTTCTAAGATACTGATAATAAGCATAAATTTATTTAACCAAAAAAATAATTTAGAATAATAATAATAAAGAGCCATGGAATCAAATAGACAGGGATTGAGACCCAGCTCTGGTACTTAATAGCTGTATGACTGGGTCAGTTAATTTCATCTCTCTGGCCATTGTTAACTGATATGCAAAATAATAATTTAAAAAAGACAGACTTTCTATGCCTATCATGCAGGCCTCTTGTGGGTGTTAAATGAGCTCAAACACAAGTATCTACTGCTGTAGCTGGACCCCCACGTAGTTGACTGCGGTTCCAGTGTTGCTAAATAACAGCAACCCTCAGCAAATTATTTTGTAAATTTCTAAAAAATATTTTTTGAATTTTAAAAAATGTTTATTATTATTGTTGTTTTTTTTTTATTTGACCAGAGGGGAGGGGAAAGTGAGAAAATAAGCTGTCAGGTCTGGGACTTGAACTGTGGCTGGCTATATGGCAGTCCAGTGCTTTTAACCACCACATCACCTACTGGCCCTAAAAAAACAAAAATTTTTAAGAGAGATTTTTGCTTTGGATGCATGTGCTCACCAGAGACACAGAAAGACAAAGAGAGAAAGCGAGGATTTATCCCCCAGGGGAATGGTCATGCCACAATCCCTTCTCCTCCATTCTCCTCTCAGGATTCTGGGCATGCATGCATGCATGCCCAGTGTGAGTTTCAAGTCATCGGATTCAGGACTTGTACTGCTGTTGACCATGTGAGACTCCAGCACCATAGCCACTACAACACCTGCTGGCCCCTTGAGAATGATTTTTAATTGCCAGAGGCCCATGTGCTTGCCAGGAAAAAGACAGGAAACAGAGCAAGAAAGGGAGAAAGCACGTCCCCATGAGGGCATTGTCATGCCACAATCCCTTCTGCATTCTTCCATCTTGTTGAGATTTTAAGGACACACACACACATGTACCATGCATGTTCTCAAGCCACTGGGGCTGGGATTCAAACTGCAGTCAGCCATGTGGGAACTGGCTCCTTTAACCACTAGGCTACAGGGTCAATCAGCAAACTCTTGTCTTTTATTTCCTTCCCAATTGCTTGGGTGCTCAGTTTTCTCGTATAGCAAGGGCCAGCCTGGTGTATAACCAGGTGGCAATGATTCTTGTAGGCATGGAGTGACAGTGCCTTCCCACTGCCAGTCTTGGGCTTTCACCAGAAACAGGGCTGTGTAATAGAACTGACTCCAAGTTATAATGTTTATGCCATTTCCACACTTGGCCCTCCGTACATTAGTATCTAGACCCTACATTCATGACAAGGTACTGGAAGACCATTCCCTGGGTAACTTGACCATCTGAAGAATAAATACCAGCTGCATAGTGCTGTGTAGTCCAGCGGCTAAGCACTGTGCATTGGGAGCCAGATGCAACTTAGCCACAGTTCAAATCCCAGCCCTAGTGGTTTCAAAAATATACTAGCCATATGTGTGTGTGTGTACATACCCCAAATCCCGATGGGATGATCAAATGGAGGAAAAAGGACTGTGGTCTAACCACATCCCATTGGGGCTACTTTCTCTCCCTTTCTCTGGTGAGGCATGTGCCCTCTGACAAAAAAAAAAAAAAAGTGCTTACAGATATTGGGTGTTCTCTCAACAAACAGCCCAGCCAGATATCCCTGTTTCAAAGCTCAAAGTCGACAGGCCCCACCCACCTGCTCAGAACTTCCAGTTAGTTTGTTTTTTGTTTTGTTTTAGTTTTCCATTTTTTTATTTTTTTATAGAGGGATTTTTGCTAAAGGGCACGTGCACTCCCAGAGAGTGAGTGCATCCCCTGGGGGGAGGTGGGGGGAAAGGCCACATTGGGGTCTTAGGCATGCATGCATATGCACCCAGTGTGAGTTTGAAGCCACCAGGTCTGGGACTCAAACTATGGTTGGCCATGTGGGAGTCCAGCAACATAATCATTATGCTATCTGCTGGCCTCAGTTTTCCATTTATCCTGAGCATACACCCAAGTTTTACATGTAAGGAAAGACTCTCACACAGGAGAAAGCAGTTAGGAAAAAAAAAAAAAAAAAAGCTATTTGGCAGAAACAAAAACTATTAAGGGGAATATATTTTCACATAACTTCCATAATTAATATTCTTGGAGAAGTAAAAGAATAATTTCCATGAAATAAGAACAGAATGATGAAAAAATTCAAGGAATACACAAAGCCCTTGAAAATAAGAAACTGATAAGGAACACAAAAATCTCTGAGATGGGATATAGTACTGAGGAAATCTCACTTTGTTTCCACTTCTCTTATGAGCAACAATCTATAAGAGAAAACACATTAAAATAAAAAGAATGGAAGTTCTAAAGGTCTATCATTAAAATCATGGAAATTCTAAAAGAAAGAACCAAGAAAATGAGGAAGGGGAGGAGATTATCACAGAAATAATGCAAAAAATTTCCCAGAATTGATGGAAATGCCCCAAAGAGCACTTAGCCTAATCAATGAAAAAAAAGAAAAAAACTCTTAAGGTGCCTATGTCATCATGAAACTTCAGATCAATGAGGACAGAAAAAAAAAAAATGTACAAGCTACCAGAGAGAATAGCAAAGATCTGGAATCACAATGGCTTCTGTTTTCTCAATAATAATATTCGAAGCAAGAAGACAATGGAGAAATGCCTTCAAACTACATAGAGAAATGAGTCCCTATCTCTATCTAGCCCAATTACAAATCAAGTACTCCAGAATAAACACATTTCTAGACTTGCACAGTTCTTCCCCATGCATCCTTCTGTGGGACATCACTAGAGGATGTGCACCAGAAAAAAGAGATGGTAAACCAAGAAATATGTTGAATACAGAAAACATGAGCTCCATTACTAGAGAGAGGTGAAAGGAATGCCCAGGAGGATGATTAATAGTGACGACAGCTGTCCGCCAGGCATAGAGGCGGCCAGTTGAGATGAGAGCAGAGCATCTCAAGAAACAGTTATATTGAGAGCTGTCATCACCAGGACCCCCTCTGCTATCGATCCAGTATATTTAGCTGGAGAACAGAGTTCCTGGGTGAGTCTGGCTGAGAGGATCAGGTTTTGACTTGTCGGAATCATTTCTGATGAAGTTGCTGCATTCCCGTCTTTGGCCTGCTTTCAAGAGCAGCTTGTTTTACCCCACAAACGTGCTCTGCTCTGATCTGCTTCAGCGTCTGAGGGTGGGCTGTGGTGAAGCAGGAAACCCAGAGCACACATCTGTACATGCTGCACTGTGGAACATAGTCCCTTGGGGTACCCAGCACCTGGCCCACAATCCAGCCCTACTAGACGCCCAACTCTGGTGAATGTGTGTTTCCTAAGCCCCTCTTATAACCTTCATCTGTCTCCCCAGAGGGGGCTCTTGTAAACTCTTGGGGAAACTGAAACCGGATTAGCCAGAGGCTCTGTTCAGCTGCTCTCTCTCCTGGGTATCTTTTTTTTTTTTTTCAGAGGTTTTTTGCTATAGGGCATGTGTGCTCACCAGACAGACAGAGAGAGATAGAGAGACAGAAAGTGAGAAATCACCCCCCAGGGGGGATAGCCACACAGCAATCCCTTCTCCTCCATTCTCCTCTCGGGATCTTGGGCACGCACGCACACGTGCCCGGCGTGAGTTTAAGCCACCGGGTCTGGGACGCGAACCGTGGTCGACTACGTGGGAGTCCAGCGACATAGCCATTACGCTAACTGCTGGTCCCTCTCCTGGGTATATTTATCAAACAGGACAACAGTGCCCTTTCGTTCAGCTACCGTAGTGCTTCTATGCAATAGCATTGTTTTGGAATATATACCTAGGTGGTAAAACCATGAAGAAAATCAAGATAATGGTTAGCACAAAAGTCAGAATAGTGGTGACCACTGAGGAGGAGGTATTTGGAAGGCTTTACTGTATTGGCTAATGTTCGATTTCTTAACTTTTGTGGAAGACATATAGAAGCTAAATGCACTATATGTTTAATTCCGTGTATACTTAAAATACTCTTCTTTACATATGATACACATCACAAAAAATTTACACACCGAGGAGACACCAGAGCAAAGTCACCTTGGGAGGTCGTGAGAGCACGTAGTCACATTCGCTGGCCCTGGAACAGAGGGAATTGGGAAAGGGGTACAAGGACGCTCCCTCTTTCAGAGCCCTAATCAGAAGGTAGCAGGAAGAGCAATCACATACCCAACCAGCAGCAGCATGCTGAGGGTTTTCAGTTCAGTGGATGGATTTTACAGTGGCTAGAATCCTGTCACAATGACCTGGAGTCTATTAAGAACCATCCCCTAAGCTGTTGGTGAGAGGCGGGTGGCTTCCTATCCTCCTCTGTCTCTGACCCATTCTCTGCCCTTCCCATCTTACCCAGTGCCCAGCAGCTGATATGGATGGGCGGCATCACCCAGGCTCCTCTGTTCTTTGGCTTTTGGCTGGCTTCTGCCAATGGGCGGCACTGGCAGGAGATCGGGGAGCAGCGGGAGAGAGAGATGAGGGCCTTTCTTCCCTTCTCCCTCTCTGCCTCATTACCCCTTGCTGGTTCTCTTAATCCCCACACATTCCATGAGTAATCTCTTAAATTTAGTGCAGTTAAATCTTTCTGAGAGTCCCTTCCCTTTCTTGCCAGGACTTTGAGTTCTCCATTATGTTAGCATTTATGTGTCGCTGCCCAGAGGTACTTTTTCATGTTAACATGGATTTTAAGGGCCAAAATGTCTTCAGAAACCCAAACAAGTAGCTCTCTAGTGAGGTGGCATTTCAAGCAGTATTCCAGAGAGGGTCCCACGTCTGCCCTCAAATCAGACCGTGCAGTCAGGCTGTCTCCACAAGAGACCTGGTCTGAGGAGAGCGGCACTAAAAACATCTCCCTCCGAGGAGAATTCTGCAGCTCTGGCTGTGGGTGGAAAGACTATCCATCGATGTAACAGTTAATGAACGACACTGCTAGCTAAGCATAGAAAGGTCTGCAAGGATTTGCTTCTGCCTTGTGGTATTTTGGCTCCTTTCACAACTCGGTCACATCCAGGCACTGGTGGGAGGCAGAGTTCGCACCAGTTCCTCACTGGTTTCTCTAAGAGAGGCCCTACTTTCCTTTTCCCTCACAGAATGAGTCAGGTACTGACTCACTCCTAGCCTCCCTCATCACCTTTCTGTTGCCTTTCCCCTTGGAAGATCAAAGCTCACCTCAGGAGACCCTCTGGAGGGAAGAAGTAGCCAACAAAGCCCCCAGGGCCAGGCAGGAAAAGCAAACAAGTGATTGACGCACTTTGGAGACAGTCTCTGAGGGGGGCTAGTGAGAGCTGAGCAAGGGGAAGTTGAGGAAGCTGTCCAGGATGGGGGTGGAGCCCCGGAGGGCTTGAGCAACAACTCATTGTTCCTCAGGGTTCCCAGGGAACAAGGTAGGCCTCTGACACAGCAAACGTGCAAGGAGGACGCTATTTGTGTTGATACACACCAGAGAGGGGAAGTGACTTGCTGGAGGGAGGGTAGGTTTCAACAGAATGTGCTTTATTCTGGGAATCTGTATCATTGGCGCCTCTGGGGCACCAGAGGAAAAGGAGAAGGACTGGGACAAAGGGAGGCAATGATGGGTATTGTTAAACACATGGCAGTTGGAGGTACACAGATCTGGGTTCAAATCCTGCGGCCTCTATTTCCTAGCTCTGTAGCTTGACCCATTATGGAATTTCTCTGGACCTTGGTTTTTACTTACTCTGAGATAGGAACAGTAATTCTTCACCCATGAAGTTTCTTTAAAGGCTTAATAAGATAATGTGCTTTAGGGGCCAGCAGGTGACATGGTGGTTAAGAGCACTGGACTCCCACATGGCCAACCGTGGTTGGAGTCCTGGACCTGGTGGCTTGCTTTCTCACTTTTCTCTCTCTCTCTCTCTGGTCAAATTAAAAAAATAATAATAAATAAAATAATGTTAAATAAAATAATTCTTTTTTTAAATTATTTTATTTAGATGTATTTATTTATTTGATTTGACCAGAGAGAGACAGAGCAAGAGAGTGAGAGAGAGAGAGAGAGGAAAGGGAGACAGCAAGCCACCAGGTCCGGAACTTGAACCATGGTTGGCCATGTGGGAGTCTACCGCCTCTAGCCACCATGCCACCTACTGGCCCTAAATAAAATAATTCTTTTTTTTTTTCTTTCTTTCTTTTTCTTTTTTTCATTTTTTTTTTAAGAGGTTTTTCTGCTATTGGGCGCGTGCGCTCTCCAGAAAGAGAGAGACAGAGAGACACAAAGCGAGAAATCATCCCCCCAGGGGGGATGGCCACGCCGCAATTCCTTCTCCTCCTTTCTCCTCTTGGGATCTTGGGCATGCACGCACACGCACCTGGCGTGAATTTAAGCCACCGGGTCCGGGACTCGAACCGTGGTTGACTACATGGGAGTCCAGCGACATAGCCATTATACTAACTGCTGGTCCCTAAAATAATTCTTAAAAAAAAAGATATTATGCTTTAGGTATCTGACACAGAAAGTTCTTCAAAAAAAAAAAAAAAAAGAAACGTTTACTCTTGTATAATGGAAAATGTTCTGTTAGTGAGGGAGGGAAGCAGCGGGGAGGAATCCGTGTGCTATGGGAAGACAGCACTGGGGTCAAGCACCCGGTTTTCGACAGAGTTCTGGCAAGGTCACCATGTGACCTTGAGCAAGTTACTCCTTGTCTCTGGAGCTGAGTTTCACCTCTTTGGAATGACGGTGAGGGACAAGAGGGTCTCCAGGGTTCATTCTAGTGCCAAGATCTTGGTTCTTAAGAACCATGTCCGCAGTGTGCCTGAGAATTCTCTGACTCAAAAATAACGCGAGGCGTGTGCTCCCATTATGCTGGTCTCCTCGGGAACGTTCTTGTAATGGTGCTACCAGTCCTCCAGACACTCAGATCCGTTGGTTTAGAATTATCTGCAGAGCCAGTTCTTGGAGCCAGATTAGAAAATCATCTCATTGCTGTGTACTCACCAATGTCCTCTTTGTTTTTATTTTTACTTTAGACCAAAAAAAAAAAAAAGTTCTCATTCCATTGAGGCCAATTAGCTTCCTATCGCAGTGTTGCCACTTGCTAATGGAGGATCATAACTTCACCTCTTTTGTCCTTGGGCCCCCTATAGGAACTGGGGATAGTAATACCTACCCATAGCACAGCCGTAGACAAGACAATGGCGGGGACCGTAGTACCAGGCCAGATGCTGGGCTCCGGGTGGGCAGTAAAATCCATCCATACATATTCCAGTAAAGACACACCTGGAAACTACCTTCATCCTGTCATTCCTTCCCGGCCTGCTGACCCTCGACCACTGGATCCACTAAATACATTCACAGTCTATTAAAAACTGTCAGGCGCCAAATGATTTTCATCCATTTCCCAAAATCAAATATACTTTTAGGAGGAAAGATTTGCTCCCACAATGGACATTTAAAGGGCTGTGCTGGGACTCCAAAGATGTCTGTTTACACTGAGTTTGTACGTGTGTGTGTGTGTGTGTGTGTGTGTGTGTGTGTGTGTATCTGTCCCCTACCCCCTATGTGACTGGCAGGTAGAGCCACGGCCTCCTCTCCAATGCAGAACCAGTACCTGGCTTCAGAAAATAAGGGCTCAGGCTGACTCACAGAGGCTGGGAAGCGTAGAGGGCAAAGTTGTGTTTTCAACCCGACAGGCCTGGCCTCCAGGCTCCAGAAAATTCACTCTGGCTGGGTGACGTCTGTCAGTCACATTGTCCTGTGAGGTCTCAGTTGATTCATCAGGAAAATGGGGATAATAACATGAACCTCGTAAAGTTGGGGTGAGGATCGTAAGTGCTAACTTATGAAAGAGCGAAGGAGAGGCAGCGGTAGGTGGCGTCTTAGTTCTGTGTCAGGCCTAAGGCATCCCCCTGTGGCGTATCCCTGTCGCAGGGGAAGGTGGGGACAGAGCAGGAAAAGGAAGACAAGTCCTTCACGCTGTTCCAGCACCGCCTCTAGAAGGAAAACAGCTCTCGCCACTAATGTCCAGTACCCCTGCTCTTCCTAGGGGGAAGGGCAGTATTTTTTCTTTTCTTTTAAAAATTTTTGCCAGAGGGTGCATGTGCTCACTAGAGAGAGACAGAGAGAGGGGAGAAAGTGCACCCCACCCCCAGTTATCTTGGAGCATAGTCACACCGCAATCCCTTCTCCATCCTGTGGGGATTCTGGGCACACACACACACCTGCTGTTTTCAAGCTGCCAGAGTTGGGATTCGAACTGCGCGGTTGGCCATATGAGATCTGGCTCCCTCAATCACTAGGCCATAGAGCCAGCCGCTGAAATTAGTATTTTTGCTCTTTCCCAAGGAAACCATTTCTCAGCCTCTAACCTGGTGTACCTCATTCAACCCTGAAGCCACCAGGCAAGTTTCAAGTCTGTTTATGAAAAGCCTCTGCCTGAGGCCACCTGATTGGTTTATCAGCCCTGGCCCTGAGAGCATTTCCTTACAATGAGCGGTGACATTTACAGCTTGAAGAAGTGCAGGGGAAACATTTTTCTTGCTGACTCCTCTTTCTCTCTCTAATGAAGCAGTCATTATAGTCTTTCAAAGGTGGAGTCTGCGGTCAAAAATGTACCCTAACTTCCCAGAGGAGCAACACTGTAAATGTCAGACACCCCCCAGTCCTGTCTGAGCGCACGAAGGCAGCTGCTTGAAAATGGTAAAACAGAAGTCCTGTTTCTTCTTATTCTGGAGCCAGGGCTTGCTTCGCCGGCTCGCAGCCTGTGCAGTCATGCACTCCTCTGCTCAGGCCCTGCTCTGGGTTTAAGGATTCACATTTAAAACTGGCATTGCACAATATACAGAAGAACAGCAAAATTCATGCCAACAGTTTAAAACCTTAATTTTTCTGCACTGAGTTAATTCGTCTTTGCTTATGTCTTTATGCTTTAAATAGCAATTAAAAAAAAAAACTACTATGACAGGTTGAAGACTGCAGAAGAAAGGAAAAGGCTCTCTGGTTTTTAAATTTGGGGCAGGCAGGTAGTGGGGTGGATAAGGCACAGGACTCCCACATAGTTGACAGTGGTTCGAGTCCTAGACCTGGATGCTAGCTTTCTCATTTTCCCTTTCTCTTTCCGTCTCTGGTAAGCACATGTGCTCTATAACAAACTTAAAACATAATAATAATAAAAAAATAAATAACTAAAAAAAGTTGAATATATGTGTGCTCTTGCCAGAGAGAAATAGAGAAAGGAAAAGAAAGAAAATGAGAAAGCACATCCCTCATACACACATACCCCACCACGCAGGGAGGGATGGTCACGCTGCAATCCATTATCCTCCCAAAAATATTTTTGGGGGCTGGGGGGACACACATACGTACCTGGCGTGCTTCTCAAGATGCCAGGTCTGGAACTCAGTCACGCAGTGAGCATGTGGAGCCCCACTGCTCCAACCACACGCCGTCTCGCTGGCCCTCTGGTTTTGTGTATGTGATCCTTTATTCCTTCTCTGCACTAGGAGCCCTGCATTTTCATTTTGCACCGGGCCCTGCAACTTATGTATCCAGTCTTCTGTCTGCAGCAGTGTAGTAACTGCAGATGTTTCTAGC